TGGAGGCACGCAAGTCTTCACACAACATCAAGGTGCAATCTAGTCTTAATACTTTCGAGTAGAAACAAAGCGTTATCGACGTTTTTGGTGAAATACGTTCGTCCACCACATTGGTTCAGTATATAGAATCTGAAGCGCTAAATGACTGAACCCCAGGTGAGGTATTGCATCTTAAACTTCAAGAATGTCGAATAGTGAAATTGTCGTGAGTAAGCATAAAATGGATTGAAGAGTTCACATGTGCAAAAAAAGTGAGTAGATACAGGCATGATACGATTTCAGGTCACATAGTTTATCTTATCAAAGGCTCAGCTAAACACGAGGACTGCAAGAGGGCTTTCTGATAGGAAGCATTTGACTCATTTCACAGGCATTGTGTAAACACAGCTACGTCACATATATTAGATCCAACCCGACTTTTATCCAACCACCTCCTCGGAAAAGGATGATTAGTTTCCTATAGAGACAAGTATCACACAATAATAATATAATCTAAAAGGGCCAAGCTCTGCAGCCCGTACACGACCAACTGTTGGGCCAACCACGTTCCAAAATGGAGCAAAAATATAAGTTCATTTGTGGCAACCATGGTCAATGCGGGTTTAGAAATAACTGAACAAAATAACGGTTATAGAAGGAGCAAAGTAAAGCCATATTATTATGTGTAATGATGATGGCGGAGATTGACTGCGGTCAGAGGTCAAATTCCTTATCCCAATCATGGCAGATATTGCCAGAGTGTGAAATCAATGATCTTCATATATAGAACAGATCGTAAGAGGCCATATGAATTCGATTAGGTTATTCTCAAACCGGAAGATGGTTTGTTGGCGTCCGACATTCCAGGCTAAATAATGATAGCAAAAGGGTGGGGTAGGAACAAGTTTACCTAGAGTTCTCTTGTCCGGATGAGGATGGGTTACGTGAGCGTTAGTGATTGATCTGGATCATCAGAACGCTCATGCGTTAGGCCACGGGATTTCGAGTGCTTGCACACGCTTTTTGTGCATAGAAATCTGACAGGCGGATGCCTCGACTGTTGCTAGTGATTCATTCTGGATAGCCTTGGATTCGTGATGTGAGTGAAAATACTTGTGAATGTCCGAGTTGACGGCCTCTAATAATTAGTAATCAGATGCACGTTCAATGTGTATTTTTCGTTTGGTACTACCTAATACCACCAAAAAGACGGAGTCGGCATTAGGTTCCCCTTCAACATCGAGTTAACTGAGGATAAAATTGCTGACACATGCACCTATTAACCTTCAAAAGCAGCAAGACTGAGTTGTGTTAATTTCATCAATCATTGACGTAAAACAAACAAACACATTGGATCGGTAAATCCTAGAAGACCGAGGTATGGAGAAAGGTAACGTCAATTGAAATCAGATAAAAGGTCAAATCCACTGTAAACGAATTGATTGCGGTGCACAAGAAGAAAGGATTTAAGCAGCGATTGAGGAAATCAAACGAAATGTCAACCTATTGCAACGTGAATTCTTTCAGACTTGATGAATGAATGATGATTCAAGATACATTACGCAAACCTGTTTTTGGATTCTCTGTTCATAGAAGAGTAAGCGAATATGGGTAGGGAAGAACACGTTTTGAAAGTCTAGTCACATACCGAGAGAAACAGAATTTAGTGAATGGACTAGCTTACAGGAAAAAGAGAATTTGTAATCCAGACCCTGAAGGAGTAGATGACATACATAAGATANCGACGACAACTAGGATTGAAATAAAAAGTCCAAAAGCGAAAGTGACTGGGAGAGTATTCGTTCCTTTCATGGGAGATAGGACACTCAAAATCCTGGAACATGGGTTATCAAAGACCATCACCAAATATATTCCTTCGGCGCATTTGAACTTTTCAAGACTTTCGAACACAACTTAGGATAAATTGGCTCATTATTCCTAATGCTTTGCTCTCTATCGGTTCACATGCACTTGTGGAGCTCGATTTATCGAAAACACGAGACGTTGGGTAAAGACAATACCTGAACATTGTCCGGTTACTCTTCGAAAGCGAACAGTGAAAGGCCTAAACCGTTCCATCCTGCAAAATTTGGTCGACAGTGAACATAGTATTGGCACAGAAAAAGCATTTTAAAATTTCTTTACAGCATCTGAGAACCAAATCAAAGGACTATAGAATCCATACCAATTAGGATTACAAAATGGGAGTTGTGCAAGCAACTTAATCTGATTCAAGCACTGTTCATAATAGTGACTTTACCAATGTGGCAACTATTTTATCATTCCCTTTCTAATTTATTGTCTTTTACTTCACACTTCCACACCCTTTTATTATTCTGTCAAGTTTGCACAGTTTATACCCTGCTTTTCCCTATCTATTTATCGTGACCCGATAGTTTATTCCTAAACGAATGTTTTGCAAACATTCATTCAACACCGGCTTAGGCCTTGTATTAACCTATTGGTTGATCGAACTGTATACGTAAATGCCTAATGCGATATATAGAAAAGAAATCTATTCGCCTTTCCATTGTGTTCTTATTCCGAATTGTTCAATCAAAGGAGTAAACAAAAGAATGCAAACAAAACCATAACGTGACAGTGTAACCTGCGAATTCACGTATGAAGTTGCTATTTGGACATCACATCAAGGAATCCATCAAAGGAAAAACCTCAATTCCCTATTTACAACTGTTTGTTTTTTTTCAAACGGATTAAGTCAAAAATCTTACCCGCGTGTATTCATATATCCGTTCCAAGGACACAGCGCTCGTTTCAATGTCGGACACTTGTTTAACGAGACAGGTGAAACAATTTCCCAGATCCAATGCA